GAGCTAACAAAGTTTCATAGCCCGTTGTTGGCAAATTAGATTCTAATACAAACAATAAATTTCATTATACATTACTGGTGTACCATATTAATTACAGCGTTACGCGAAATAAATATTAGGGAAAATAGTGCATTATTACTGTTACAGCAAAGAGACGAAGTTGCTCTGAACAGGTAATCTTAACGTCGAAGCGAGTCGATCTTCGAGAATCGTAGGTCTCGTTAAAAATTGACGCGTATTTTCGTGTCAGCCGAGGGAACAGAGCGCACGGAAACCGTCTGCTCTCGGTTTACCGGTTTCGATTTCTCCTTCTGCCTCGTGTCGCGTTCAAATATTTACCGCCCCCTCCATCCCTCGTAGCTTCGGTAACAAAACTGAAACTGCGGCATTTGGTCGGCCGTGGGGGTTATTAATGGCCCTCCGCCAACTGCCTTGTAAATTACCGGTGGAAATTTCGCGGCGACCCATTATAGAGGCGACTTTGTTTGCCCGAAGTCTGTTGTACGCGCGAGTTATCGAGCGGAGGCCGGTGTTGTTGCCGCGAAGAAGCGATTAATGAGCAAAGTGAACTTCCACTTTGCTAACTATCCTCTTGTCGAGTGTCCAACCGATTGATCTTTCGGGCGAACTCGTATTTATATGAATTTTCGTTATATCGTTGTTCGAGCGTAACGCGAGCAAAATATGCGACACGGTTTGTAACGATTGATATTGAACGAATAAAAATGCTTTTTCGTTCGTCTACGGAAAGATCGTTTCCAGCGTTATATTTTCATAAGGTGGTGGTGCATCGAACAGAAAATTTAATGGAAGAAAAAAAACTGGAAAGAAACTAAGAAGATCGCAATTGTCCTCGTTGGAAGAGTTCGATGGTGGACGAGGTTAAACTCTTAATGGATTCCGGTGTCAGCCACCAGGTAAAGGGTAAACTTCGATTACGTAACTTTTCAAAAGTGCCGTCCAACAAAGGACGTTCACTTTCTATGCGAGAAACTTACTCGTCGATGCATTTGAAATCGTCCGAACGGGGATATTACGTCTTTAATTCCTTACTGCTTCGCGTTCTTAAGAGTACTCGTTCCAAGATTTGTTGCGTTTAATGGAGTTCGGTAAAAAGAGAATAGAAGGACCTTGTTCGAGATGGGAAAAATCAGCACCACCGATCATGCCGCATTTTCTTTTTCCCCGGAGTCGAAGGCGAACGGGTTTTCGTATTAGAACGAGCATAAAATCGATGCCGGGTCGTTAGCGGGATTTATAAGAATCGCGAGACTTTTTCTCCACCTTTGACTTTTTCTTCGACTCTCGGGTTGGCCGATGCACGACAACGGCGACGACGACGACTCGAGTGCTCGTATATACCGAGCGTTATTCAGAGGAATCTGGTGCTTTTTCGCGCGAACACGGTGAAAAATTAAAGGTCCTGGCTTCGTTTTTTCTGTTCGAGCATTTATCAAGACCACGGAACCGGAGAAACTGCACCGCCCGCAAAACGTAATCTTGAGTAATTCAAAGACTACCGACGATCATCTCCCCGCCCTGTTTCTGCAGTTTCAACGTTTCCGAGACATCTTCGCCTTCGCACCTTCCTCTATTTTCATCTATCCTCCCAGATCTCTTTAACGATTCCCGCAAGATTTCATTTCCAAGCCTCCGCTAACGTTATCGTTCCAAATTTCCGTTAAAGCTTGTATTCACAAAACCCATGCTACGTTGCCCTTTCAGAGAAAACATACGAGGATAAATTTATCGAAAATTTCATCTTTGTTCCTTGTGAAAGAAATTCTGTTACGAAAATTATAACGATATTCAGTTCCCATTGAAAAGAATAAAACGTGAAGCCATTGTAATTCTATTCTTTAAATTCTCTGTTATGGCAAAAGCGTAAAATTTGGAGTAAAATTGCTTTGTAAAGCAGATCCTCTACATCCTTAAAAGTGCGAGAATTTGTATTCGCCTATAATAATGATCGATCAGTTTGAAATGATCCCATATGAAAGTACCGTGATATAGCACTTATGCTACGTTGTAACAGATAGTGGGTCGACCAATTTCATTTCGGTATTGTCCATTAGCAAATATCCAATTTTCGACAGATGCATATTCCAATATTTATTGCCACTTTTAATCATTCGACAATTTCAAATTGATACGACAGAAGTGTTATTTTGCGGTCATTTTTATGTCATCATATTCCGTAACGAAGTACATTTTGAATTCTCGTATTTAGTATGCCACGAACCTAATAAAAGGTTGCATGAAAATTACACGTGTATTAAAAATTCATCGTAGCAAGGCTTGTTTATTTGCTCGGCAACAAACGTTGCGTACATTACCAAGAGGATCTAGTAAAACGAAATTTTCGTGCAAACATTGTAATGCCAAATTCACAAGATTTTACATAGTGCATCAAATAAATGTATCGTGTTCGCGTGTTTGTACGGTACGTTGTGCTGACACTTTTCATGCCATATTAATTTAAGGCATCAGCATTGCAATTTACATGAAACTCGTTTAATACTGAAATGTACGTTTGAAGAGTAACGCACAAATTTTTGCGAAAATGAAATTTTTCCTCTCGACCGTTAATCTTTTCATTAATCTTGCTTTATTTCGCATCGCGTAAACGCAATTCTAATACATATTTGAAAATATACACTTTGAAAACGTCGCTGCCTTCTCCGAGAATTCGGTATGTTTTAAAAATCTACTTTAAAGGGACGCAGCGAATGGAAAATTTTTTTAATTAATTTTCGAACCGAATTTCGTGGCTCTCCTTTTTTATACCATTGCAAGGGGTTTAAACTTTCAAGCAATAATACTCGAAATTATTATTACGTTCCGCTGAAATAAAAAAGCGCTTTTCGCGTACGATATTCCAGCGGGCTACTTTGTCGCAACATATTTCATCTGGAAACGCATAATCGCGACTACGTTAATTACGAATACTTCCAAGGTAAACGCATACAAATTTCAGCTCAGGCGTGAGAAAAATATGCTACGGTTTTACTCGGTTATTCGGGGCTCGCAATAAACTTACCACCGAATTTACCAAAAGAAAAAAACGTGCTAACTTCTATCGTTGCTTATTAAAATTTCTTGATTCACGACCTGCAGAGTTGTTCCTGATGGGGCATAGAATATTATTCATTATTACTGCTGCATTAAACGTATCCAGTAGAATTTAACTTTGGCGATCAGACGATAACCAAAGCTTTATGCTCTGATCCTCGACATAATATAAACCTTCATTGTAATATTTAAATCCACTACTTTCTTGATGTTAACCGCAAATTAGCATAAGAACCACGTCAATATGCAAAGGGTTAGGAATCACAATAATATCTTCCATCAGCATACATCGGCACTGGTTTCAAGCGTTCCGTCAAAAACTAAATGAAATTCTTTTCCCTGAAGAAGTATTATCTCTTCGCCTGTATCGTTGTAGCTGCAAGAATTTCGTTGCTCGTGATATTGTACGACCGTGAAATCGAGAACCATGACGGTGGATTTAATTGATAGATCGCGTCGCGCGATTACCATAGTCGGCAGCTACTTTTGAAAGAACGCGACGAAAGAGGTCGGTATTCAGGAAAGAATAAAAGGTTAAGGAAATTTTTCCAGGGAACCCGACCGTGGAAGCCCTATACATCGAGGTTCGCTTTAAGGCAAATATCTCGAATGGAAAGACACTTTTAACGGAGACACTCCCTCACCGTAAAGATGTCGAGTTATGATAATTTTTACCCTCGACGCTCTGTCCGCTGGCTGAAAGTCACAAGGTCGAAGATAAGACCGTGGCAAGGAGGAAAATCGTTTTTCATCGAATCAGCGAAGGCACGCGTTATTCCGGCGCGGATGGTCGTGCCAGGGGAAATTGAATAAGCGACGCGATCATCCAGGAAACTTGCGGGAACCTCGTCTGCGGGGAAGCAAGCACGATTCCAGAAACGGACACGCTTAACGTTCGCCAGAATGTTTTTATGGAAATAAAGCGAACCGAATGAGATTCGTAGAATTCTCTTTGATGTTCTTCCGCTAAAACGTGCCATTTTCTCGTAGCATTCTCTCCCGGATCGACAATTCGTATATTTAAATACGCGACTACACCTTTCAAATTTAACATTCTGAATTGTTATATCACACGTAAGCATAAGCATGCATCGTCTACCCGCAGGTAGCGACGGGAAAATTATCTTAATGAAATTTGTGACTGTTCTATTAATATTAATATTCGTCGTTGTCGTATTCGAGGCTTATTAATATTAATACCGGTCGCAGATTTCGTTCGTGTGTCACATTAACGAAGCAAATTAGTTTCAGTTATTCTCTTCTGACAATTTCTAACCGAGCAAGAAGCAAAGTATTATTTAGCCATGAATTTGTTTATTTAGCGCGACAAAGACGATTTCATGCGACATCAAAATACCGTTTATCTATTCATTGAATTCTAGCGGTTTCTTCTATCGTTCGTTCGTTTTCTCCTTATTTCTTTTATTCCTTTCTGCTCCTGTTTCCGTTTCTGTCTTTCAGTCAGACAGTCAGCGAGCTCGTGAAACTTCGTTGGAACAGACGTTCCTCAATTATTATTATGAAGGCCCAGTTCCAGCCACCGCGTCCAATTATATCTCATGAAACTAATCTGTAAGTTTCTTTGTTAAATTTCGCGCTCGCAACTGGATAACAGGATTTTAAAAGCATAACTCACCTCGCCTCCTGCTATGCAGTCACGCGAGCTAACTTTCTGATGGAACATGGAGGACGCGAAACGGGCACGGGACGTTATTGCCCCTTCGTTAACTTGATGGGAATATTAAGGATTTCTATCTTCTACGATTAATATGTATCATTACATCGCCACATTGCGCGTAATAAAAGCGACAGCCGTCCTGTTTTGAAAAATAACCGAGCTGCATGGAACCGTCTTACGAGTTCTTCTCCTCTCCGTTCTGACTTTTTACACCTCCCTCAAATCTTCTTTTAAGAATTAAGCGCCTACATTCAATAACTGGTTTTCGTGTCGTTTTTAATATCTTCAGAACTTTATGGATACAATTTACAACCTCTCTTTATGAATAATTTACGATGATCGCTATGTACATTTCTCCCTGATTACGTTCTCGTTACTTTCACGATTACGATCTTATTTTACACACATACGTTTCGGTATACTTTCATTTTGATCACTCTCAACTATATTATTTTATTCTCCCAGCGCGAATTTTTATAAAGTTTACTTTAATCTTTCCAGCTTAGAGTTTTCCGATAACAAACATCTGGGAGTTCGAACTTTTTCTCGCTTTACGTAATGTTTACGAAACGCGACAGTTTTATCGTGTGGCAAACTCTATAACGATGATAATACTTGTTGATGCAATCTCGTTAGTCCGCTAAAATTAACAGGTTAATACCCTCTAAACGATTTCTATAAAATCTTTCTTACAATTTCTACAAAGTCAGTTCTTCGGAGTAACACGATGCAAGAAATTGGAACGCATAATTACGCTTCAGTTGAAAGAAAGAATGGTAAGCATAACGCGTATTTTTATCCGCGTACGAAGGCAAGTATAATAAATGTTCTTCGACGAACTTTCACCAGAATATCATTCTCTTCGGCGTACAGACGTCTTGCACAATTCTCACGAATATTTGCCATGCACACCGTTCACCCGCTGCCATGTTTATACATTCGGTATTTTGAAAACCAACACATCGACCTTTCGATATCGATCATCGTGCCTACAGTGTTATCCGATGTTGCGTATGTAGGTCAATGAAAATATAAAATGATATTTTCGGTTTACATCGCAGAACGAACGAACCATCGCGCATCGAATAGATTCCCGTTATATCGCCGCGAGTCATATCGCTACGCGCCGGTTCGATAATTTTTGATACGCACTGTAGCAGGATTAACTTTAACCGACGCAGTCTGCATCGACGCGAAAATCACAGGGAAAGAGTCGATCCGAAGGAAGGTAAACAACGCGTTTCACGATATTGGAGGTAATAACGGCGGACGTGGATGGACTCGAGATTAAAATCTGGTCCATGCTACAAAATGTTACGAGAACGCTCTCTCGGCGAAGGTATCTCGAAGCACTTTCCAATTTTACGTAAACGTTCGCGTGCCTTTTGACTCGGACACGTTTCGTCCGCCGACAACTCTTCGCCATGGACGAACACCTGTTTTCCGGCTTAATGAAAATTGTGCAATTCAAAAGCTTCCGTAAACACGTTGGAAAATTATATGCGACTCGCCTGCGCGAACGTCAACCAGAACCAATTAAAGCGGCACGACCGAATTGATGAGGAAAAAGAAACACACCGAGAAAGAGAGAGAGAGAAAGAAACAAAGAGAGGGAAAGAGAGTTGACGAAACGGTGCTGCAGCTCTTTCCCCCTGTGCAAACTTTTCCTCCAATTATTCGGCTAGCAGTTTAAGCAATACCGTTGACCGTGCTCGTCGAGAGCAGCATTCAAATTAACTCGTTAGATCCGGGTGTTATTATACGGTTACATAGGTAGCCAGCCTCCGAAAAAGGGCGAGTGAATTTCCGTTCGTAAATGATGTCCTTCTTTTCACGTGAAACGAGAAGGAACATCCGAAAGAGGGAAGGGAAGATTTGCTTCGATATTTTAACGAATAAAATGTGCAGGGTGGAAATTTCTCTTCGATTTTAGCTTTCAAAGCTCGTTAGGGATCTCTGTTTTTGCAATCCAGTACATACGGCATGAAAGTTTCTGTTTAATTTTCGACTTTAAACTCGTTATATAGTTTTGTTTTTTCGGGAATGTATAACTAACGAACGGATTGAATTTTATGCTCGGAATGTAACGAAATCGTGTTCCCTTTCTAATGTTACGTACAGCGCAATTTCTATCGTTAATTAAAAGGTACAGTAGAACCCCCATTATCCGAATTTTCTTTGTTCTTAATACGTTGAATTATTAATAACCCTACCTTGTACGCTTTTTTCGCAACATCACATTGTATTTTTCACAATAGCGCTAAAAACGCTTACCTTAAATATCTTAACACGAAGCGAACAAAATTTACTCCACTATTTAGAGCTATCATGAGTTATAAAAATTGTGTAAAAAGAAAAAATAACCTTTTACCGACTTAAAATCGGTAGATTAAAGTTGTTCGAGTTCTCGTCGTTTGATGATTTCGGATGTTCGATACCTGTTAAATAAAAGCATCGAGAGAAAAGCAACGGCGATGAAAAAGAAGAACAACAATCGAAGAATTTTCATGAGGGTGATGTTGCTCTCCTCCACGCAATACTTCTTTGCGGCTGCGTTCGCGCACAGAACATAACTCTCGATGTCGATTTCCGTGACAACCGGAAATGCATCTTGCTCCTCTGGGCTGAGACGTTGCTGTACCTGGTACAGGCGATTCCTCTCCACTGACCACGACCTCGATGAAATTGACTCAAGGGATCGAAGTGCATTACGAACTCTCCGTTGCTCCTCGAGAAGCCTGTGGAGAAGCAAAGGTTTTACCTCGTCGAATGATCTTTTTCTTCCCCGTTGCCATAATACTCTCCCTGTCTACCTTCTGTTACCCTCTACTCTTCGTTTTCGCATCTGTTTCCTTCGAAACCCGATTCTACTTCGGTCCTGACCTTTTTATCCGAACTTGTGTTCGCCCGATCTACCGAATGATCGCTACTTCTGACAAATATTATTTACTGTTCGGAAATGCGTCGAAAATCAGGATCATCCAAAATTTGGTAATCTCGCAAACGGTATTAGAGACGCGTGTACACAAAGGCGTATAGATAAGTGAAATGTAGGTAAGCGATATCACTTTTCGAACGTCGAACGTAATTGCTCGATGACGTTTGACTTTACGAAGTTTCCTCGGCGTCACCTCAAGATGTTAACTTCATGGGATTTACAATATTCGAATTCGCGAGGAAACGTTTGCTCAAAGGCGGTCACCGTTAAATCGTTAATGGAATATCGCGGAGGTTCTCTCGAGAATATTAGCGTTAATAATGAAAGGAAGACGCGAAGTTAACCTAACTTCTGTCAAAATGGATAAAGTATGCGATAGATTATAAACTAAAGTGAAACGGAATTAAGTTCGACAGTTTGAGGCGCGGTAGAACGAACTAGGAAAAGTTCAAACATATCTACTTCAAAGAGAACAACGTTTTTTATTCTTCTTTAGTTTCTTAAAACGAGGAGAATAACAAAGTACTTTGCTTTAGCTTTCGAGCGAACGCGACATACCATCAGTGGCATTCCTTAAAGAATTTGTAGATTATATTTAAATGACATTATCAAGAAACAGGAAGCGTTTACTGTTAACGAAGGAAACGTGAGTCACGGACAGATTCGCAGTTTTAATAGGTTCTTAGCAAACTACTGGTTGCGCCAAGAATCGCGCGGAAGAAAAGTTGAGATCGCGTAGACCGTCTCTTCTCCGACGTATTTCAATGAGAGCTGTCAAGATTTTTCGGCCAAGTTTCTCCGTCGCTGAATCTGACTTGCGATTTTTAAAAGCAATCAGAGAGACCGAGCGAGTTTGCAGCTCAAGTTTCCCACGGAGAAAACGAGTTTCTCTTCGAGTCGTTTTTCTTCTCGCCTGCATTCTGTCCCCTTGAATGCCACGGTAAACCTGTTTACTTCGGTATTCGTCTAAATCGTAGTTGAAGATAACTTTTACTTTTACGAACTCGTCGCTTTTGCCAAGCGCGACGCGTCCCGTCTCTGGCATCGTCGTCCCCGAACGCTGTTTCCTCCAACTTTGACTATCGCTTTCCTTTCTCGATTTACCAATATTTTTCTCTCTATACACGTAATTAATTTTATTCGACGTCTTAAAAGGCGAAACCTAATACTGGATTCTACGTGATTCTAAGTGATACTCATAATTCAATTCCTCGTTTTCCCTTTCTTTTTGTAATTATGTAATCCAACGAAGTTAATGGCGAGAGTACCCTATGGCCTTCGGAAGCAGTTAACAAGTTCAAGAGCATTCCAAATGAAATTGGCTGAAAGTTGCGAATCGGTGAACGGTGCAATATAACGAGTCGCAATAGAGAAGTTTCTCTTTCTAACTCTCTATCGAAGATGTCAATTTCGCGTAATAACCGAACATCGTAACAACTTCCCTTATCCACGTGAATTTCAAACGACTTCTGAACCTGCTGTTAGTCGGTCTCTCTTTCGTAAATTCGACTAAGTTCGTTCGAAAGTGCCGTAGCGGGAACGAACTTTCAATCTATTGAAAGATGCGACCTTGGTAGAAATCACGGATATTCAGTAAAATTTCCAGTTCGTTATACCTCTTCTTTGCTCCAAGCTGGCCGAGAATCGTGTCGCAGAATGCGGATGGCAGCCATTCAAACAGCAGCACCAGAATCCAATGCAGCTTCGCTACAGACGTCATTCCACGGAGCCCAAAAGTCGGATATGTAAACTTCTGGTTGCCGCGCCGGCCTTTCTTAATCAGTTCGCCCCACGTGCACTCTATGGGCGCTGCGTTGTACACCACCGCCCCTTTTACGTTCTTTTTCCTATAATCGAGGAAACGATATTATTTCAAATGCAAATTTCGACTCGAGATCCAATAACGAAAAGCATAGCGAAGCGCACGGGCGTGCTAGTGCACGATTCGGTGACCGCGGCCGCAGTTTTTAGAGATTCTAGAAACGGTACACCGGTCTTAGCTCAAAAATGTGTAGTTTCTACATTCGTGTAGTTTAGAATAAAAGAATTCGTTGAATCGTCCGATTTGAATGAAAATTGAATCGCTTATTTTACGAAAGGGAGAAAGCAGTGACGGAGACACGTCGATTACGATCACAGAAGCGTAACAATACGGGGGATGGAAAATCTACTTTCGTTCGCGTGCGCGATTCTTCGTGAAACGATAACCGAGGCTATTCGAGGCTGGTAAACCGCCTTAATGCGACTTCCCGCTAGTAATGCTCGATGCCCCAAATGCTGGCCGTTTAACCCGTTGCCTTTTGCTGGCCCGCTCAAAAGAGATTTGAATGCTCTCGCGAAACGGAGCCGTGCTCATTTGGCGTAAACTTTAATTGCAACGCTTTACGGCTTTAACAGCGGCTACGGTAACGACCCATGGGTGTACAGCCACGTGATTTACGAATAACGTATCGCGTGCACTTCGATTTAACGTTTCACTCGTTGGTCCGTTTGTTCAGGCATTATTTATCGTCTTGTTTCTCGATCATTCCCTGATAAATTTTAAGTCACGCACGAGCGAGAATACGCCTCGATGCTTTCTTTATTTACCAAGCGTATACGCTTTGTTTTCATTACGTGCTTGTAACTCATAAAAATTCAACTATAATTACGAAATTACAGCACAGAGAATAATTAGAGATATTTTCGTTCTTTAGCCGAGAATTATATAATTTATCGATGGTGCGATCGGAAACGATTTATTCAAAATGGAGAAAACTTGTAACAGGATAATTGTTGTGTAGCATGTTTTCTCCTCTTACCAATTCATTTTTAGGTCTAAGACCGTTTACGTAAGAACAAGTCACGCATGCACTTTCGTGTCTATTCACTTTCTCCGTTTCCGCATTGAGTAACGGTAACAACGCAAAGAATTAACACATAATTAACGATCGTTACTACATATAGAATACATCGGTTTCGCGAGGTGTTTGAAGTGGAAGCAAATGACAAGCGATCTTTACTACCCAGTGTTCGTTATTCTACGTCCATTCGCGTATAATTAACAACAGTTTGACTGCCTATAAAAGCTTCTTTAACGACGTGCCATACGTCACGAACGACATTCGTCAGGCGTTTAAGCGCGTTGTTAAAAACACGCTTGTAAATACTGATAACACTCTACGCTTTCGTGCTTAATTCGTCGTCGAGTATAGAAGCTTAATATATCGTGGAACGAATTTATTCGACTCGATTTAGCTTCGAAGATAGACTATATAAAATTTGTACTTACGAGGTAGCCCGTTCCCAAACAGCAAGGATAAGACTGTTGACCGTCAAATCGATCGGTATGATCTCCGCTCGAAGCTCGGATCTGCCAAGGGCGAAACCCGCTCCTACAATCAGGGCAGTTGGCCCTTTAAGTACGTCGACGAAGCCGGGCATAGGTTCACGATAAGCTGGTCCGATCAAAGGAATCTTCAGCAAAGCCACAGGTCCGTCCGCTACGTGCTCCTCGTTCGATTCACCGATTTCACCCTCTTGCTCAAAAACGCTCGAGACAACTGCTATTACCTCCAGACGCGGCAACTTTTGGCAAAACTCGAGGAGTTTTTGGCACGGCCCTGCCGCGTGCAACACCGCGCTCACGTTTTGCAACAGTTTCCTGTTTTCCTTTATCACGCCCAGGTCATCGTATACTAAATTACCCTCCATCGCTTTTACGCGAGAAATCGCGTCCGGTACCTCTTGCCTGATTCGCTCGAACCTGTAGCAAACAATGGGAGATTCGATCAATTGAACCTTAGCCAAATTTCATTCGGAAATCTGATTCGATAACGCCTATAATTATGGCCTTTGCGGATACCGTTCGCATCTATGGCTGGTATGTAGGCGGTCGTAAGAGGAAAATGTTCATCGGATTATGCGTCGGAAATCGTTCAAGATCTATTTGGATTGGTCGAGTCTTTTTGCACAGAAAATCTTGTATTAAATCTTATTACGTAAGCTCATTTTACCGTATTTGTTATCATAGTAATAAAGAAGTAATAAATTTTTATTAGACCTCAACTCATTTCGAATTATGTTCTTCCTAGGTGTTCATAATTTTAATAACCTCCCGTTTCTGTAACGCCCAGTTCCTTTCAATTTACGCGTCCCGATCGATCGTGCGCAATTTCTGTTTGCAATAACAGTAGTTAAGGGCGTTCCAGACAGTCCTTCTCCACGCCTCCAACTACCAAGACTATTATTGTTCGATTGTGTACACCATAACCACCCTCTATTCTATCGGTGGTTCGTCGTCCGTTCCTTGCAATTCCAATACAAGTAACTTGGCCCCGTGTCCGATAAGATCGCCAAGCAGGATTGCATCCAATCGAGGTTTCGCGTTATTCTTTTATACGTTCCCACCTATTAAATCGATTTCCCGCTATAAATTTTTATCGATACCCGTAAGATTTGTACGCAAAGTCTTACAGCGCCCCAGTGTCTCTTAACCTTCTTTACGGCTAGAGAACTGGTGCATCTCTATCGTACTGCGAACTGCATTTATTCTCGCCACGAACTAATTAAGAAATTTAAGAAATTGTAGCGGAGAGAATCACTGATTACATTTAATAAATCTATAGCTTCAAATTATTCCAGTTAAAAATGAATTTATAAGTTTTTAAAGTATCTAATTAATAACAATTTAAGAAATATCGACAAATTTTCGTGATACACGAGTTTCGATGCAGCTGGAACGTATTTCACAGTCACGCGTCGAAAAGACGCGGATGAGAAGAGCATGCTAATGAAAATAAATTTCTTCGCTGCTGAGAACAACCAGCCACGACTACTGAGTTTTAGCTCGCGTGTCTTGCGATGCAACCGAGATCGTTACGGTAGACGATCACGTAACAATTTATTCGTCCGCTATCCAATTTATACATTCGTGTGAGTACGTACACAGGGTTCCTCGATAACGTACACCATGACAACTCCAGATTTCCGTATGCCAAAAAGAAGTGGTATAATTTTTGGTCGTTTAGCAATCTGCAGCCTCGTTTTCGAAATAAAAGCATTTATGGGCGTGACGAATTTAATACTGCGCCAGAGCGCTCGCAAAAGGATCAAATTAAGCTTCTTTCGTAATTACAATTTGTTTGCGTCCACTTGGAAACGAAGCACTTCGATCACGTTACGTGTTCAACGTTACAGCTACGTTTGTTACGAGGCATGTCGTTCGTTTCGCCGTTTTCCATTTAATTGTCTTCAATTATCGTTTCACCCTGTCGACGGTGGTAAATCGCCGACCGCGATAAAGCCATTTAAAGTCGTGAGCACATATTATCAACCCTGAATAGAAGACAAACAAGCTTTCCGTTTCTATTTTACTACCTGGACGGACCGATTATCCGTAAGATAATTTGCTTAGAAGGAAACGAATAATTATTTGTCCGCGTGTCGTGCACGGAAATGTTCTTCGACCGTTAATTTACGTGTCACGGAAGAAACACGTTTCGAAGAAAATACGATTAAAAGTTACGTATAAGATTTTGTTCCAATTTGACCGAGAAAAACGAATGAAACCTAAAGCAAGTATTATTTCAATTTGTATGATAACCCTCAGAATGTTACGACGAAATTTCTGTTGCATCGCCGTAAAAATTTGATAAATCATTCCTGTTCCATTATTTTCGTTCTTATCAACGGTACAATATAATATTATAATGAAACGGCTAAACAAATTAACACGGTTCTTCGTGGTATCCGTTGAATTCGTAATGAAACGGTAATTCGCAGCCGCCGCTTCTCCTAATGAAGCCTTGATTAGAATGGAAGGCTGCAATATCTAACGAATGGCTGATTAAAGTCAGACGTAATCTCTAACGAATATGAGGAGTGCTATGAAACGTGCCGAATAATTGCAATGTAACGATATTCCTTGTAACGGTTACACGTGACAATGCCAATCAACCGGATTGTCAAAATTGTAAGTTATTCCCCAGTGAAAAGTACAGTACTGCAATAATTAGCATCTTTGTCGCAAAATGCAGTTTTATAGATATTCTAAATTCCTACATTACATTCGTGACTCCTTCTCACGAAAAGTGCTTTATTCCTCAATTAAAGTTTAATAATCGACTGCGCGATAATCGTACGTTTTCCTTTCGACCGATGTTAAACAGGTCTGTTTGCATAAATTGATCGAACAAATACCCACGCTTTCGTGACGTAACTGTTTACCCTTCGAAATTTCAATATTAACAATACTGCACATTCGATAAATAGATTCTGCTACTCTAGGAATCCTTGTTAACCGCTCCTACACCGCAAATTGGTTAATCAAACAGTTTGTACTCGTTTCTTCTTCCACACTCTTCAAAAGGTAACTTGAAATTATTATACTTCCCAAATATATTGAACGACTGCAGAAGCCAATCGAAAACAAGTGTAATTTTAGTCCAAACTTCACCTACTTTATCGTGAAATACATTGCTCGTTCAAAATCAAACACGAACCGACTCCGTGTATTGCATAAAAACATTAATCATCGGTAAAAGAACTGAACTCGTTGACGTCAATGTTACATCGCAAACAGGACACAATTGTTAAATGAGCGATGCAAAATCCTTCAACTTTTTTATCGATTATAAGCAGCGACGACCGCATACGTACTATACAGTCAATAATACGTATACGATACTGTCGACAATAAAAGAATAGAATCAGAAGAGTAGAAAATATCGATCACCCGTACCGAGGCGACATAAAGATGTTTTTGATTCTGTCCTCTTTGTCAAGGCCATGTCGTGATCTGAGCACCGTGTACACCTTCACGCTGGGAAACGAACGAAGAATCTTTTCTAGGACAGCCCGTCCCAGATCACTGGTCACTCCCGTTAACAGTAGCTCGCGATCCGCGTACCACTCGCGTAGAGCCATGTTCATTGACTGACCGATGGAAGAAGAAAGTAACGCCATCCTCGCTGCAACCCACTTACCGTGAGCATATGCCGTCGACTTCCTTTTACCAGCACGTTGCATTCCATTACCGAATTTCACGACATCGTAATCTCGAAGAAAACGCGTTGAACATCGTTAGCGTAATTGTCCTAACATCGACAAATTAGAGCGAAGAGTTTTGAACGTTCACTGATATTTTGAAAATATCGAGTTTGTAGACAAGCATATTTGAGCGTTAAGAATCGGAAGGAGAATATTCGTCGACGACCTGGATAGATCAATCGGAAGAGCAATCGGCCGGCAAACGAAAGATCCGGATTCGACAATCTGATCGGTCGAATATTTTTCTCTCCGCGCGTCCCTCTTGCGAATTCAATCTGTCCTAGTTGTTCGAGCATCCGTTATAATGATAGTAACACTCTGACGTTTGCATATTTTATGGGATCAGTGAATCTGCTAATTTTCTATTCCCTTTTGTATCGAAAAAGAGATTACGGAGAGCTTTTAGGAGCTACGAGGTATGAACTTTTGTCCGCGTAGTTGGACGCACGAGTACTTTTGACATTCACCGGTGATGAAATTTCTCTAAAATTTACAAGACGAAATATCGAATACCCGTCACTAGCTATCTTCCTGTCTCGCTGCCACGCAGCAGTTTAAGCTCGATTCCAAGCTCGAAATGTCCATCCTGTAGGTTTACCTTTAATGTAGCGCGTCTCGTCCCTTGTTGCAGTCCCTTCAACGACGCCAAACGAGGAACGGACGGTCCTTGATCATGCACAGACGCTTCACAAACGTCTGGAACATCTCCATGTAAATGAGAGTACCGGCTGTACGCTTACCAAGATTGCCAACCTACGACCTGATGCACAGTTTCCTCGGGAAGAGTTTGAACGTTTCGCGTTTACGTACTTACAAACATACTCTGACTCGTCCATACATAACGACGAACTCGCTGAGATAACGTTATCGTCTTAAATTGCGGCCATTTCTGTTTTCGTTTCGCGGTGGTTGCGATATACACCGGTAAGTTCGGTTTATTAGGAGCTGCTGGGAAACGGAACCGTTTGGATAACAGGTTGAATCGGATAATGGGAGCTTTGCGAGCTTAGCGTATTACAAACAATTTCTCCTTTCGACCGTAAATGTCGATATCTGCAATTCGAATTTCGAGAATGCCTATCTCTATTCGCGAGTTGCTAAATGCGAGACGCTAACAGTCTGCGGAGATTACCTATATTCTTTTCTCACGACCCAATTATTTCGTCGCTTTTCAAACACGAAATACGCTTGTTTGTCTGGAGAGTATCGAAGGAAGAGTCGAGCGGAATTTTACCGTGGACCTCGCGTTAACGGGTTTAACACTTTCACGTTTCGAGTCGAATTGACCTCGATTCGAGAGGTCGTTCGAAACTAAAATGATTGTCAAGGATCAGAGAAAATAGCATGAGTGCGGTCAAACGACAATTCTTTCATCTTTGATTTTTGTTCATCTCATTACGGTGTTATAAAGATCGAAATATTGATCTCTGTTTTTGCCCAGTGCGACGATGTAATTTTCTCATCGGCTACTTCTGCTTCCCAGTTTAGTTCTGTCTATGAATATGTACACGATGTTCTCGCCTACGGACATGTCAGTTACGCTGTTTGCGAATACAAAATCAAGCCAATTTGAAAGAAACCGCGTGACTGTGGACACGGAAGAGGTGCATCGCCGTTTTTGACGGACGTTCGTTATCAAGAAATGTCGATATCCATCTACCTATCGATCATGTGTTTATTCGCGTCGCAAGCGTGTTTCGCTCTATCGCTCGGTTTTCCTACATCCTACTCGATACTCTCGAATTTCCGTTTTCAACGTAGTTTTTCTCCTGTTTTTGCTCGATGTTTAAAATATACGTATATCTTGTTACAGACAAAATTCTCGATTCCGTATCAGCGTTTCGTAATCCGTGGAATGTACACGAGTTTATGACGTGCATCGACGGCTAAAAAGTATAGAGTTTGTTTTAAACGTTCGTCTCTCCTAATCAAAATTGATCGAATTAATTACGTATTGCGCGTTAATTAGCTGTGCTTCGGCGAAATTGACGTACGAAATTACCCGTTGCATTCTGTGTGAAATGTCCTCATCGAGACCCAAAAGGGAACAATACACGAAATTGACTCTCTGGTCTAGAGCGCATTGCAGCTGGCGTTAAACTATTTGATACGTGGTTGTTAAAAATGTTACAAAAGCGTTTATAGTTATAAAAGCTTCTACGTTGACCTGACGTTATCGAATAGCGTCAAATTTTTTACGTTTCGAAATCGATCACGCGATATTTTACGACCAATCGAAACAAACATCGGGAATACAAAATAAGGACGTTTCTTCGCGTTTCTACGTTGACACTCGTAAATTATTCGAAAGGTTTTTCGAAACAGCGATATCTCGAACGAGTAGCCGATGAATTGCGAGTAGAATGATATTCGTTGCCGAATCGATGTCTCACCCATAGAATCCGTATCTCAATTACCGTAAGCGCTTTCAGAATTTGCAATTCCGATGTGGACCGGAGTCGATATCGATTGCTACTTAATAGAACCCCGCTGCGCGAATTTAAACCGAACAAAATTAGGAAATCTTTGTTGAAACGAACAACGGACCACGGAAAACCCTTGAAACTTGAAAATTAAACGTGATTCGCAACTTCAAATAATAATCAATGCTATCGAGATTACGAAAGTTAGCTTTGTTCGAAAGACAATTTCCTTTATTAACGTTTCCTTTAGTTGTCAATTACGTCTTTCCGTCGTTGCAAATAAAACATGATTATCGAAGAACAAGTAATGTCATCTTTAACGTTGCGAAACACGCGCGACGGTTGACACGAACAAAAACGAGAAACGTGAAAAAGTCGTACTCTAAGGAAGAAAAATACATGTTAGTTTATATGCGTTATTGCACAGATAACTCACGGACGTACGCGCGATACGCTGTCCACTTTTCAAAATGAATAATCTCCGAAACAAAGTGCAGCACGTTGCGTTGTATATTTTCGGTCAGTTTTTGCGCGAAGAATCATCGACCATGTCCCGCTATACAATGATTGCAACCACGCAGTGTATAATTCGATAATTGTGTTACGCATGACAGCACGGAAGTATAACAACAGGAAAAACGATCGACGTTTCTGTGGACACGGTTCGTCGGCAAGCAGACTCGTGGAAAATAATTATGTTATTCGATAGAACGAGGAGCGAGTTAATTACTGTAAATTAATAATCGTTTCATTGTGACCGGAAATTATCGCGCGACCGATGTAACGGAGAAAATAACGCGACAGAACGGAATAGGGAACGATGCAAATCTGTTACGTACTGTTCAACGAACTGTACGAATATATATTTTTTAATTGCAATGTGTTTTCGATATCGAGTTATAAATTTTCCTGATAGCGTACATCGATTGAGACTGTAAGATAAATTCAATCGGAATGGTATTCGCAGTACAATCAATTTGTTGGTAAATTAACGAATAAATATTCTTTCTACGAAAAGGTTTTACCGAAGAAAAATGATTTTAACTGCATTGAAACTACACTGATTGGGTGTTTTTTCTGATAAACATGGAAAACGTCAAAGCGAATTACTGTAAAGTGGAAAGTCAGAGCTCAAAGACTCGTTTGCTCATCGAAAATTTAAAATCTGGCGAATCAATGGTCCACTTCTCGTATTCCGACGAGAATTATAGATGATTTTATAAAAATGGTAAAGCATATTGCAAGAAGTGGTGCTTTAAGAGTAAAAAATGGAACCGTGTAACCGACACTGATCACGCAATGACTCGAGTTTGTGCAAATCGGGTTGATGGGTAACAGATAAAAACAGGCGACGTATAAAAAGTTGCAACAATGTTGCAACCAGTAAAAAGAAAACTACTCGAGTAATTAGAATTTCAAATGGAGTTAAGTATAGCTGTTTGGCAAGAAGATATCAATGAATTATTAATTCGATGGTTGTCACGCTGGAACAAAACGCCGTGTCGAAAAAGCACGTTGCATTTTCAATTTAACGAACAGGATTAAATTAACAACGCATTTTCGTTGCACGATTCGATTACGTAGACGTAACTGCTTACGGATCGGTTCGAAAGTGTAGTTCAACTACTCACGTAACAACTGTTTTCTATCCGATGTCTAACAAATTGATTGAAATCCGAAGGAACTGGTTTCGAAAGCGTTCGATATTTTGCCAAGAAATTCCTGTATAGTCGCTTCTATTTTAATTTGAACGTAGTTGCTTTTAATTTTAGCGTTAATTATATTTTTAGTTACATTTTATTTCGAGACCGTAAACCAACGAAGCAATTAAACTTTTTAATGACGCGCAAACAACCTTTACGGGATTAAACCTGGAAATAAGTATTTTGGAAGCTCGGCAAAAGTAATTTACATTGATTGAATCGTTTTTTTTACACATACGCGTGTAACACGAGGGAACTAATTTTTAATGAGTTTAAGAATTTCTTCGCGAAAAAACTCGAGCAAAACTGACGATAGATGGGAGCTTCTATTTTTAAAGGAGATTTCTGAAATTGTTAGACAACTTCTTTATTGTCGCATATATGGTTATATATTTTAATACACAATTCGTCTTTCCAGAATAAAATAACGAGGGATTAATAATAACATTTTAAGATCAAGTTAAAATTAAGTAGCAATTGTCGTGTGCACTGTAATGCAAAATTAACGAGATCATTATTTATAACGCTTTTCTAATAATTTACATCGATCCAGTATTCGAAATATGACTTCGTTGCCGGAAAAATCAAGGTTTATTAGATCGGTTGAACTCCTGTAAAGTTCCGAGCCTGTTATTTTGTTCGTTTTGCTTGTTATTTTAACACCGGAGAAGTCTGTTACCATTCAAATAGCGGAAAGTTTACAGGAAGAGAAGCATATTTTGTTACAACTGTACGATAGAACTGCATTTATTGAAATACCGGCGGAGGAACTGGCGTTTACCTCGAATTCGCGTAAAACTGGACGCGTTAAAGGTTTCTATTTACTGTTTCAGTATTCCCATCTGCGCCTATTATGCTAAATACCACGAGAAAGCGTCGCGTTTCCCTTGACTAGGCAAATAACCGTCCACAGAAGGCACTCTCTTTAACGTACGAAACACATGGAATCGCGCTATTACACGGTAAGATTAAAATTTGAATTGTTACGGATACAAATTTCACTGTACATTCTATTTCCCGAGACATTCGCCGCTTCCTGACTAACGATAATGCGGTTCACTGAAAAAAGGTAACCCCAGAAAACGCGCAAACTCGTAAAAATTCGAACCTTTTACGATCGTATATAACATTCGAATTAAAAGCTATTGTCGCGATCATCGCAATATTTTTGCTACCGCTACAAAATGCAGGAACGTGGAAGCAGAAAGGACGAAATAATCGATTTTCAAACAACTGTCACTCGATCTCGTAATGGCTTTAACGATCGTCTCCAGGATACTCTTCGTTTCCGAGTCGTTCGTCTCGCCTTTCTCGCCAGCCAATATTTCATGAACGGCGGAGCTAAAAATGCACTCTCTTCGCTCCGAATCGTAAATGTAGCCGATTTTGCAGACACATTCGTAGCCACCTGGCATATTCATGCACGTTTCTCCGTCGTCTGTGGAGCAACCGTGCTCTCCTCTGATGCACTCGTTCACGTCCACGCAGAGTCCAAATCTCGAGGACCATTCGTAGCCAGATTCGAGACAGTTACAGCTGATGTTTATCTGGTTTCCTACCAAGCTGAAGAAATCCTGATTTTCTTGCCTGTTCAATGTGCACGTTCTGTGCTCTGCTACGAACAAGGTAAACTAAATTGATCAGGATGCAAATAAGTGGAACTTGGATCGAACGTGGAACTAGTTGTATTGTTTTGTTTAATTCCGAGCAAATATACCGGTATGGCGATTTCCCGTGTAAAAGCTTTAGCGTCGCAAACGAAGAAAAAAGTTTTCGGAATGCGATCAACGCGTGTCGAAAACACGAAATGAATTCGCTTGGCAATAAATTAATAGCGGAATAAATGTAAATTGATCGAGCGTTAGGTAGATTCAATCGTGCCGCATAAATTTGGCATTTAACTAAACTCGGCAAATTGCCACGGAATTGAACGATTCGATTCCATATTGTAGTCTTAACTCGTGCCAACGAATCGTTAGCTAATATACTTAGCCATAAACGTTTCAGCGAGAACATTATACACGGCGATAACGTCTTTTGCCGGAAAGGAACGACCTAATAACTCGCACGAAATTATCTGGCGCGTCGAGTTTCGGATTTCAAAGCAATCCTCTTATGACACGGGAACGTAAGATGATTTGCACGCACCCGGTGGATTCGCGGCGTAACAAGGATTGAGCGGCGATTGATAGCAATCTGTCATATCCCGGATGTGTTTCATGGGACAACAGTGATCCGGACAGAAACTATAAAGGGCACAGGCATATGGACTCGTATCATCGGCTCGCGGATCACCGTTTCCGCCTTCCTGTTCCACCTGACAGTTGGCATAGTTGTCACAGTCCTCGCCGAAGATGCTTAACTCTGGAACTCCGAGCATCGTGTACCAACACATGTAATAACTCACGGTGGTCCGCCACTGGAATCGTTCTAAGTTACGATACAATTATCTAATATTTCGCGTTACACGTTAAACAAAGTCCTTCGAGCGCGAAACAACGTACGAATTACGCCAAGTCCGAAGCCAAACAAAATGAAAGGAAATTATAAGCATCGAAGAACGTGTTTGTCGAGCGTTTCATTTTTTGTTCAAATATGAACAGGACGAATGAAGTACTGGGGAATCCAGTTAAGCATGGTCGACAAATGAAAAGTTTCTTCCATAGTGTCTTTCCTCGGGCTATCGATCATTAGCTTTCTTTTTTGATTGGAAAGGTCCCGAGGGGACCATTGGTACTTGCCTATTGGACCTTGGAAGGGAAGCACGGTTAGTTCGTCACGCTTCTGAGCCGCCTGACAGTCCCTTTGAGCGGCTTGGATCTGCTTGGTATTGTCCGCAAGGTTCCACTTTTGTTCTTTCATGATCGTGACAGTGTCGTCTTCTCGCCTGAAGGCAGTCTCTTTAATCACACCTTCGAGATATTTTAGACACTCGACGAAACTCGAGTCACAGTATCTACGCATAATTGAAAAACAGTTATCTCTTATATATGCAACTTTTTTCAAGTATTTGACTTTCTATTCTAGCAACTAGAATGAATCGAACAGGCACGATTGACCCAGAATTGTTAACAAATAATAAAAGTAGGATTTGTGAAGCGATACTTGCGCACTTCCCAGTGCAAGGACCTCAAAGGAGGTTTCGGGAATTCTTCGTAAAACCTGCTTTGCGAGTCTTCGGGTCTCTTGTAGTACCTACGATCGTAGTCTTGAAACTTGTGCGCTCTAATATAATAGGCAACGTCTCGAATCACTTTGTTCTTGTCCCATTCAGCGTCCCAGTCGTCGCTCGGTTCTTCTACGTCGGGCACATTAGTTGTTCTTATATTAGGATCTATAACCTGTTCCGTCAGAGGCACAGTTCCGATTTCCTCCTCGTCCTTTCCCGTTGTACTTTCGCCGATCTGTGTCGTCGTCAAAATTGAAAACGTCGCTCGTTCCATCGAGCACGCTTCGTGGAAAACGCAGAAATACAGGAACGCGTAAAATATTGTCTCCATTATTTTCGAGTACTCTATTTTGTGTTGATCATACATCATTTTCGAAACGACGCTCGCATAAAAGCCGATTCACAATGAACCACCGGACACGTTGCATTTTCAGGGCGATTACGATCGAACACTTGACAGAATCGATAGCTTTGTTGGCAGTTTCGCGACGTTGAAGTCGATTTCAATGCAAAGATCTAAATAGAGAGGCAGTTAGCGAAGAATAGAGGGATGCGAGAAAGGTCGATGCGTATTAGATTAAGTACACCTCGATCAAAACGTAGACGTTGGAAAAAGAGTGGTGCATAAACGAAGACTTCTTGAATATGCCTTGTCACAATAGAGTGAATTAGTCGAAGGGTAAAAGCTGCTTTAAAGCGGGCTGTTCGCAAAGCCAGCCGATAAGTAAGGGGAGAAAGCCGCGAGGAAGAAAGCCAGACGCAAAGAGCAACCGGACAAAAAGCCTGAAAGCAGGAGAACTTTAATTGCTTTCGAATATCGACGAGTGTCGCGACGAACGACCTCCTCCTCTGATTTGCGAGTCAATCGTGAAACGCGAAAGTCCCGAACAATACTCGATATTATTTATTCGAACTGGCAGCAACCGAAACTTGCGATACGAAAGCGTTCGCCTACTTGAAACTTCCATCAGGGACCACGTAAAAATATCCATTAACTTCGTATCCGTTATTAGATCGGCGAACTGTAGGTATAAATTGTAGTTTTCGTGTAATTCCTCAGCTGTTCGATTCGCTGAATAATTTTCAAGCGGAAGATTAAACGAAACTAGAACGGAACACAATTTATGGTTCGTTTCGAAGCTTTCCTATTTTGTCGTGTTCTTTAAGCCATCCATTTCCCATTTCCATCCGACCTTTCCATTCTCGCGTACTCGCGATCATTCTCGCGCTCGCGATCTTGGTTCGACTGTCGAGATATTTAAAAAGTTTCGAAATACCACGAAGAAAAGGGAGGTCGTGTTTACGGAAAGCATTCCCTCTCTGTACGAAATTCTATCGGTCGATTTGAAAGTCAATGCTCGGTACATTGGCGCGGAGATCCTTTAAAACGGATTAGAGTCGAGGCGCGTTCGAAAATTTCCGCCTGGAATCGTCTCGGTGACGCGCAAACCACGGATCCGCAGTCTGGATGTAATTTTCTTCGGAAACGTATCGCTGCGCAGATCGATACGATGCGGCGATTCAACCTCTTTCGTGTATCTCAAACGCACTCGCTTCCTGTTCTATTCCCTCTTCACCGAGCTCTTTTGTAAATGCTACCTTTCCGATTTAAAAATGGTCGATCTGCATTTTATGAGAAACATTTCTCCAGGAGACGGTTGCTACATACACATCTACGCAAATTACCCATCGAGAACTTTTGCTCGTTATAATTTTAGCTTAGCGTCGCGGTAGAGCCTTCGAGAGAAAGAAAACGTACAAACTTCGCGCGGTACTCAACGCGGGACGCTACGTCGAGTAAAAGGTACATGTATATTAACGTGTTTTATCGTTTTGAAACGGTTATTCAACTCCTGAAGGAGATCTTATATTACAGGACATTTTGTACACGTTACCTTTGAAAAAGAGATCAAACGCGTTCGCGATACTTGATTCACGAGGACTTTCGAGTTTTATTCTCCCCTCGATATTTGTTGGTGTTACTGTTTACTTGCAAAGTCACGTTACCGTTGATATTTACATATTCTCTACATAGTACACCGTTACCAATCCAGCGGAAACTTTTCAGTTGACTGAAAGCACCGGCATACGCATATATTCGGTCACACGTGACGTACTTCTGATATTTATACGCATATTCCCACGCGAACGTAGACACGATTATGCAATGCGTACCAGGGTGGTTGGTCGTGCATAATACTGTTCTCTCGAATATCCTTGTCCCCCGTGCATTTATAATAATGTCCCGCAAACTTCTCCTTCACCTTTTTCTTCCTCCTCTTTGTTTCTTGACGTTGCTCTTAATCCTTTCGCTACACGTGACTCCTATAAAATGTCTCCGAAAGGACAGGGCGCTTTCTAAATTGAAAAGCGTTTAGTTATTTCGTTATATCGATTGTCCGCTGCTATAATCGTCGTTCGCGAAATATTCACATTTGGGAATGTCATGCGCACAATGGAAAGTCATCCTTCGGATTGAATTTCTCCGTGTTATTTCTTAATTTTTCCTTCGACCTACCGAAACGTAAATATAATAACTATGGCTGAAAATAGACTGCATATTTTTATCTTCTCGAGTTCTCCCATATCGTTAAAACGCTCGTCGCGTAAAATATGATAGTGTATCGTTGACGAACGTACAATTCGATGATTAAATTTAATATCGTGACCAGTTCGCGCGGAAGGAAGTCGTAAGATACGAAAACGAGCGAGTATCAGATGCCTGCCGGCTGTTGACGAACAAACATCCCCCTAGCATCGAAGAATGAACTTTTTCCCCGTCGATGGTTTATCGCATCACAGCTCGAAGGGAATCAAAGGTACAAAAGCTTTCAATAACTCGTGCCTGTTCTAGCGACTTTACCCGCGCGCGTCATCTCCCAAATGGATTTCAGCATTGTTGCCGGGAGCTGTACGACACACGCTTTATTCCCTTCCTCTCGCAAACCTATCAACCGAACCCCAGCTCGGAATTGTCTCGAATCGTGCACCCTTCTTCGGCCTCGTTGCAGCCCATTAATTTCGAAATTCTCCTAACGACAGGAAAATAGTTCGCATAAGGACGCGTCCCACGTTTCGTGACATTCCCCATTTTTCGTTACGCCGTAATCCTGGAAGTCCACTTTCGTCGACGTCAAAATGTCGCGTGGCGACCGCTCGTTTTTGAACTGAAATTAATCACGACGGCACGAATAACGCGAAAAGCCTCTATCACTTTTGTCTTCAACTAATCCTCGGACCATTACGATGATACCTGTCGCGTTTGCATCCTCGAAAGTGGAATTTTAACCTGGCTGTTCCCGAAGGATTACGGCAGCTCAAAATCTTTCCAGAAGAAGAACGTGCATTGGCGCAAGGGTAGGTTAAATGGAATACTTTCTAAACGGAGTACTGTTCTTTCGGACCGACAGCTTCCGGCGGAATTCTTAGGTGCACGGTTCCTACGAGCTCGCATTCGACGAAAATGCTGCACTCTCCATTATGGTTCATCGTTTCGAGATGGATCAAAGGTGCGCGGATGCTTCCAATCGTCAAATGGATTTCGCTATCGCGGCGACCGTTCATACGTTATCGGTTTTCTCTTTTCCTTTTTTTTTTATTCCCGTCAAACACTCGAGAAACCGTGTCAGCTGCGCCTCGCTTCCCTTCTCGATTGTGTTCGACGGTCGTTGACTCGATTTTGCCGCTGTGTACCGACTTATGTTACGTCCATTTCCGAGGGACATTTTTCATAAAATACTGCCGCCGTTTCCAGCGAGCTTGAAAAATATTGAATTCAAAGGGACGTCGCGTTCTCTTAGATCGAAAATTTGTTAGCCGTCGAAATCGACTTCCGAACGTATTAAATATTATGATCGTGAAACCTGAGCGCTAACGACATCAAATTTTCATAATTTAAACGGCAGCACAGTGGCAGCATTTTTTAGAGGACGCGAGTTCGGAAACTGTTCTTTGTGATCTCGTGAAAAATTGAAGAAAACTGAAAGCTGCATGGAACCAGAAGCAGCTACTCCCTGCAACAACGAGCGAGAGTTTCGTGGCGGGATTTCAGAAAAGGATCAAAAATATCCAAGTTTCGAATCGGCGGTCAAAGTCGGTCATCTGGTTCCGTCTCGTTCAGGAAGACAGAGGTGGTCGTTTCTTGTGGGACGTATTTCGTTCTTTTCGCAGATTGGCGAGAATGTTGACCCAGTTTCACGGCTTCGGATGGGATCGGACGTTACTCGCTCTTCCGAAACTGCTGACTAGAATACGCGATGAGCGAGAGAAGTTAGGATGGTTGTTACGACGTCTTTCTCCCAACGGGAACGCCATCGACTTCCCGAAATTCATGTTGAAAATACAATTCTTGTGTCTGAAAATCCTTCGCCGGAAACTTGGTTTTTTATCGTCTTCCGATGAACGAGTACCGTCGAGAGTGAACCTGTGCCTCCTTGGCAATGAAGCGATCTCCCAGTTCCGAAGATCGGAACAGCTTGCGCGTAAAACAATATCTACATATAAAGTGCAGCGACCAATTCTGTATCGAACGATTTCTAACTTCCTCCTGATTCGGTATCTCGCGGTCGCGTATATTTTGAACGTCATAGAATTATTTCGATGCACTTTATTAAAAGCGATTAAATACAGCTTAATTAACGCCGAATAGAATTTCGATTTAATTTCAATAATTGCTGCAACTTTTGAGAATACATGTTAATTTAACTAAATTCGATGTCACGTTCAGTTATATCGACATAATGAAAATTCAGATGAAATTTCGTAATGAAGGATCGAACGTTAATGAAAATAATTATCGAACTGGAACTCGTTAACTAGAATGACATAATAACAGAAAGCTAGTAGCAGGAGTCTTCGTCCCGGACGATAAAATTAAAGGCAAGAGCCTTTCAATAAATGCGTTATTAAGTTCCTGGTGTCGTTCGCTGGAATTAACTCGTCTTTCCGGTAACAAGTTAAGAATTAATCGCAAAGTCGATTTACCGGGAATAAGATCTTTCGAGGTTCCCGGTCGCCTTCGTTCGACTAACTTTCACGATAAATCACGGCGCTCTGGAAAACCTTCGCGGTCTCGGTTAAGACGCTTTCGAAAGTTTCCCGATCTTCCGTTGACGATTATAAGACACGATACCGAACGGTCGCCGGTCGAGGAGAACGACCCACGTCTTTTAATGGAAATCACGTAGAGCAGCTTTCGCGCAAGCAAATCCCCCGTGACTTCGACTAAATCGCGCGGGATCTGTGGATAACATGAAAAAGCGAGCGCGTGATCGCGCTTCTGTCCGTCACCGATCGAATCTAATACGTTCCTCGTGGTTCCATGAATCTCTTTTGAAAAATCTGTCTCGAAATTTTTTATATCGAGTG